TTTGAGGAGGTGGGCTGGGGCGTGCGGGGGGAGGCGGGCGGGCACGCTGGCCGCAGCGTCCGAGGCTCACATTTGTAGAAGGCCTGCAGGAAGGCCACCACCGTCTGCGCCACATCCAGCTGGCTTGTCGTCGCGTCTCCCGGCTTCTGCAGCAGGCAGCGTGCAGACGGGTGGGCGCGCACGGCTGCACAGTGCGCGGTGCAGAGAGGCAGGTGGCCCGGCAGCGCGGCCGGCCGGCCAGGCGCCGCCAGGCGCCGGCGGCAGCAGCAGCTGCGGCGCACCGTGCTGTAGCTGAGGCCGGTGCCGATGGGCTGGTCGATGTAGAGCATGTGCCCCACAGTGGCCCAGGTGAAGCTGTTGGGTACCAGCTGGCGGCTGGTGCTGAGCGAGTAGGGGCCGTGCTCTGCACGCAGGCGGGCCGCAGGCCAGGGGCGCAGGCCAGGGGCGCAGTGAGCCGGGGCCGTCATTTGAGCCAAGGGAGGCAGCCTCTGCCAAGGGCCACGGCTCTTGGCAGTGGGATGCCCAGGGCGCACGGCTGCACGGCTGCAGACAAAAAAAAAACCAACAACAAGCTGGCGGCAGAGGCTACCCAGCAGGGACAGCCAGAGGCGGGGCAGCCTGGGCAGCTGGCGGAGCTACGCACCCACAAACATGCCCCACAGGCTGCTGCAGCCTGGGCCGCCGTTGAACCAGGCGATGACGGGGGTGGTGGTGGCGTTGATGGCCGCCCCGGTGGTCGCGCTGCGCGCCTGCAGGGCCCATGCAGGAGTGGCAAGGCTGCGGTGGGTGCCGCACACCGTGTGCTCGAGTTGACTTGAACTGACTTGCAGAACGGATTCGGAGCCAGCGAGGCTCATGCACGCATTGCGGCGGCGTAAACCATGGCCATCTTTGATGAATGTGCTGCCGCGGGGCAAGGCCGCCGCAGCCAAAGCAGTCCACATGGCGGCCAGGCAGTGCCACAATACAGCGCTCTGGAACCGCACCTGGAAGAACCAGTAGAACAGCTTCCTAGCAGGGTTGGTGGCGGGGCTGAAGTAGCCAAAGCGCTCAATTGGTTCTGGCCTGGCGGCGGCGGCGGCGGCGACCTGTGGCCGCACCCGCCCCGGCAGCACAAGTGGCTTGTCGGTCAGCCCCGCCGCGGCTGCCTGCGGCACCGCTGCTACCAGGAGCAGCAGTACCGCTGCCAGAGCCTGCAAGCCAGTCGCTGCGGCCATGTTCGGGCGCGTCCCCACACTGTGGGGCCCGCGGGCACACCCGAGTGCCGCCCGCTGCCGCAAGCTAATGGCAAACATATGCTGCTGTTGCTGATACAGCGGGCGGGCGTCCAGCGACCGGAAGATGCGGACGCCTTTGACACAGCCTAGTTTTCAAAAGCCCAAGGGTGAGATGCAGGAGAGAAAGAGCGGAGGTGGGTATCAAGATCAGGAGCGGAGTCTGCACGAGGAGGCTCCTCATGCAAACCGCCCGCCGACGCCGCCCGCATCCGCCTGCATCCGACCCGACTGCGCCCCTCCCCTCCTCCCCGGCACTCAGCAATGACTCAGTCACAGTGGGCTGGACAAAACATGAAACAATCCCCAGTGGCACGCTGCCGTCCATCCATGCCATTGTAAGCTTAAGAAAAAATGGCCACCAGAACCGATGCTGCATCAGGGTTGATCGTCCCCGGCCCCCTCACAGCTCCCCCACCCCATCGCCCTCCTCCTCCTCCGCCATCAGATCAGCCAGGTCAAACTCCTCCTCCACCACCTCCTGGCCGTCGCCGCCGTCCCACGCGTCTCGCGTCTCCACCTTGGCCACCTCCCCAATCACGGCGGTGGCACGCTGCACCCCGAGAGACGGCCAAGGGGTCAGGTGAGAGGCAAGGTGGCAAGTGCATGGGTGGGGCGCAGGCAGCCCGTGTGCCAGCCCCGCCCCGGGCCAGCCCCGGCCCTTCCACATCGTGCTGGCAATGGCACCGCCCCGCGGCGGCACCCCCACTCACCAGGCGCTCCGAGGCCAGGAACTGCCGCACGTGCTGCTCCTCAAAGGCCGACTTGAGGCTGGCAAACTTGCCCTGGGAGGGGTAGTAGGCGATGAGGGCGGGGTAGCCGTAGCCTGCGCCGGAGCAGAGGGAAGGGGGGGCGGGAGGATGGTACTCGCAAAGCCGGTGGAAGCAGGTACTGGACAATTGCATACACCAATTCGACTGAGAGGGGAGCGGGAGCAGCGGGAGGAGTCGTGATGCAGGGAGGGGGGTGTGCAGCGGGGTTGGGGCGGGCGGGCTTGGCGTGCAGCCGCGGCAGCCATGCGGGCAGCCACCCGTCGCCCATGCGTCGGCAGCCCGGCAGGCCCTACCTCCCACGCCAAAGTTGGCTTCCAGCGCCGGCTGCGCGCCGCCCTGGGCCCACAGGTACGAGAAGGGGCGGTCCTTGTACTGCGGGATCAGGTCCCGCAGGATCTGCGGGGAGGGCAACGGGCGCCCAGGGGCAGCGCAGCGGTGAGGCGTGCGGGGCGAGCCGTGGGACGGCGACCGGCGACCGGCGACCGGCGCAGCGCATCATGCAGTGCCGCGCGGCCCAGCGCTCACCCAGCCATGAACCCAGCCCCAGCCCAGAACGAGCCCAGGCCCGGGCCTGAATACCAGCACAGCACAGCCAGCACAGCACAGCACAGCGCAGCGCAGCGCCGCCCAGCGCCGCCCAGCAGGGCCGCCGCCGCGCCTGCAGGTAGGCCTCGCGGCCCGCGGCCTTGGTGTCGAGGATGTGCGGCAGGAAGGCGAGGAGGCACATCATCTTCGGCTTCACCTCCCCCAGCTCCAGCGCAGCGTCTGCGGCGTGCCCCACACAGTGCTCCTCCCAGGTGTGCTCGTCCACTAGCTCGCGCACCTGTGTGGGAGCAAGGGGGGCGCGCGCGGCGGCGGCGGAGGCGGGGTGTGTGTGCGAGTGGTGGTGGCGGAGGTGGGGTGTGTGCGCGCGCGCGAGACAGCGTGGAAAGGACGCACAGGTGCACAGGAAGCCCGCTACACTGTAAAACCACAGCTGCCTGTGGGCTGGAACGCGCGCTGCTGACCACCGTGCAGCAGCAGCAGCAGCAGCTGCTGCTGCTGCTGACCCCGGCGCGCACCTCTGGCGGCGGCTGCTGCGCTGCCCAGCGCTGGGTGGCAAAGGCGGCCAGCGAGCCCGAGTCGCGGCCGCCGTTGTAATCCTCCGGCCTCTCCTTGTCCTCCCCAAAGAACTTGATGGTGGGGAAGCCTGCGAAATAAATAAATAAAGGGCCAGGCGTGGGGCCGTGGGGCGCGGGGCACCGCACGGCGTGCGCACACGCGGCGGCAAGGGTGGGGGAGGGCTGGCCGCGGCAGCCAGGCAGCACGCCAGGCTCGTGGCGAGCATGGCGGCTCGCTTGCCGCGCCGCAGCTGCCCCCGACGCCCCCAGCAGCCCCGGCGGCACCGCACAGCCACGAAGCTTGGGCCCTCCCTCCCTCATCTCTCTCTCTCTCACTCACCCTGCACCTGGAACTCATCGCAGGTCTGCTTCTGGGCGGTGCAGTCCACCGCGCCCACCCGCACCCTGTCCTTCATCTGCTTCGCCAGGTCGATCCAGGCGGGCTTCAGCGCCTTGCAGTGCCCGCACCAGGGAGCGTAGAACTGTGTGTGTGTGTGGGAGGGGGGTGGAGGGCGTGGGCGCGCAGGCGGGTGGGTGTGGGCGTGGGTGTGCGGGGGAGGTGTATACAGTGCAACAGGGAAAGGCACGCTGGCAGGGCATGCAGAGCCACGTGCCGGCGAGCCAAGGGGCGCGTGCCCCACCGGCACATCCCCGCGTCCCATGGCCAGGAAGGGGGCCGAGAGCGGCGCGCCCCGTGCCGCCCACCCGCGGCCGCCCGGCGGCCGCCCAGGGCCCTCCCTTACCTCCACAAACCACAGCTCCTCGCTGCCCGCCACCTGGCGGTGGAAGTCGTCGTCGCTCAGCACAGTCACATCGGTGCCCGCATAAAAGTCGTCGCCGCCGCCGCCGCCACCGCCGCCACCGCCGCCGCCGCAGCGGGCGCCGCCGCCGCCGCCGCCGCCGCCGCCACCGCGGGCGCCGCCGGGCTTGACGCCCAAGCGGCCCAGCGCCAGCCGCTGCACCTGCTGGAGGCCCCATTCGACAATCTCCTTGGCCGAGCGGCCGCCGCTATAGTCTACGGCGGTCACCTTGCCAGAGGGGTCGGTGTAAAGGAACTTGATGGTGGGGAAGCCGCGCACGCCGTACTGCACGCACGCAGGCCGACAGCAGCGCGCGAGGCGAGGCGGGAGGGGGTGTTGAGCGGCGGCGTGGTGAGCGGCGGCGTGGTGAGCGGCCGCTGCGGCGCCGCCGGCGGCGCCAGCGGCAGGCTGCGAGGAGCAGCGTGGTGTGTGTGCGCGGCGCGGCGGCGGCGGCCACGAGGCTGGCACGCACATCGCTGCCCAGCTCGCCGTGGGCGTCCGCATCCACAGCCGCCACAGTGAGGATGCCCTTGAGCGCCTGCGCCGCCCGCTCCCTGCACCCACAGCCGGCGGCACGGTGGCCGGCAGTGAGCGGTGGCGCAAGGAAACAAGCCTCAGCCACTGTGGGGATGCCGAGCAATCGAGCAATCAGACGCTCACCATTCGGGTGCCAAGCTCTTGCAGTGGCCGCACCTGCGCACAGCGGCGGCGGGGCGGGACAGCGCGGTGTTGGCGCGGGACAGGCTGGCCTCCCACCCAACGCACAATACTGCGGCTGGCAGCCGACATTGCCCTGCAGCCTGCTGCAAACGCCAGGCAGCAGCAGCGGCGCGGCAGAGGCCGGCAGATCGCTGGGCGGGCTTCCAGAGACCTCAATCTTACCATGGGGCATAGAACTCCACAAGGGCCGGCTGGGCCACCACCCCCTTGAAGTTACCAGGATGTAGGACTCGAACATCGCCGCCTTCCGAATAGAGTGCTCGGGCGCCGCTGGTGGCCAGCGCCAGCGCCAGGAACACTGTGGCAAGCATGGCTGCTGCGGATGTGCACAACAGTTCCTGAGGAAGAGATGGGTATGAGGAATGCAAGCTCACCAGTGCCAGTCAGCACCCAGCACGCAGCAGGACGGGTCGCCGCCTTTGCCGATGCTTATCTTATCGATGCAGCCTGTTCGCAAGTTTGCACGTCCAGTTTTGAGAAGCGGATCGCAGCCTGCCCTGTTTTTTCATTCCGCGCAGCGGCGCTCTCCGACTCGCGCTGACAGCCCCGCAGGGCCCAGGGTAGCCTGTGGGCTGTGGGCAGCTTCCAACAAGCGCCGAAACCCACCCCCGTAGGAAGGAAGGGACCGGCCAGACACGCAGCCGCCACTCGTCACGCTCCCACCCTTGTGCAAACCACCATCCGGGCCAGGTGTGCACCAATGACACCGCCGGTGGAAACCGGGGGCCCGTACTCTGCCTCTCTCGACAGAGGCAGTCCCACCTTGGGGCTGAGACACCTCCATTGTGAACAACCAGACCCTAAAGATCCCAGAGAGCCGGAACTGGGGTCCTGGGGAAGCCTGTGAAGCGCCCTGAACACCATGCATGCCCGCGTGCCTTCCGCCGTCCCGCACCTTAAATAAGTCGGCGCACCTGCCCGCGCACCCTGCAGGCCCTCTCTCCGCACATGGAGGCCTCCCATAAGCTGCAGCTGCTAGCGGATGCGCTGGCTCTGGAGTTCAGCCAGAGCCTGGCCAGCGCGCAGTGCGCGGCCGCGCTCACGAGGGTGCTGCCAGGCCTTGAGTATATGAGGTGCGTGCTGCCAACGAGGCGACCCGCAGCTGCAGCATTGGGTCCTGGCGCGGAGTGGGTCAGGCCGCAGCGCCACCGGCCCGTCTGTGCATGCCTGCAGCCCGTCTGCGCCAGCCGCTGCCTGCCGCGCCTGATTTGCCTGCATGCTCCCCCTCTCACCCTGCAGCATCGCGGTGAGCAACCCCGCCCAGGCCGGCAGCATCGTGGCATCCGCCAACTGCGCCGCAGGTGCGGCGCTAGAGGCAGCGGCCGTGCCAGCGAACTCCTCGCCGTTCTTTCTCATGCGGTGCACCTGACAGACGTTGCCTCCTGCAGCACGCCACGCCGACCCTTGCTGCCTCCCTCCATGTATGTATCCTGCCGCAGAGGGCCCCACCACCCTGCACCTTCACGACGCACTTTCCTCAGTTGCGGGGCTGGCCATGGAGCGCGGCCAGCCGCTGCAGACCAGCCTGCCCAGCAGCAGGGAAGCCAAGGCGGTGCCCGGCTTTACCGACGTGCAACAGATGGTGGCGGCCGCCCCCGCAGCCACGCACCTGCTGTGCATACCCTTCGGCTGCGGCAACGACGGCGACGGCGACGCGGCAGTCGACGACGGCGGCAGCCAGGCGGACGAGGCGTCGAGGTGCCAGCAGCACGCCCCTCCCTGCAGCGGCCGCGGCGCGCTGCTGTTTGGCCTGTCGAGCAAACCCAGCCTGGATGGCAGGCGCGCCGCAGCGCTGGCGATGCTGGCCCAGTGCCTGCCCGCCCCCATGGCCCGCCTCTCCGCCGACACCCTGGCATTCGTCAACTTGGCGTGCGGCAACAGCGTGCAGTGCAGCTGCTGCTGCGCGCACGACAGCGATGGAGAGGAGGAGGATGGGAGCGGAGAGGGGCACGGCGGCGTGCGGGGCGGGCACGGCGGCGGCGACGACCGCGGTGGGCCAGCCCAGGCGCTGCGGGTGCCGGCGGCCGGCGCCTCGCCAGCCGCCGGCGACAGGGCTGGCCCCAGCGACTGGCGGGCGGCCCGCGGGGAGCAGCCGGGCGGCAAGGGCGGCGGCAAGGCAGCAGCAGCAGCGGCGGCAGCGGCCATGGGCCCCGCCAGCCCAACGGCACACGAGGGGCGCAGTGCAGGTGCGCTGCTGCCAGGTGTCTTGGGAGGCAGACCCTCGGGAGCCTGCAGGGTCGCCACATGCCAGCCATGCACCATGCAGCGTGGGGCATGCGCATGATTCCCCTGCTCCTTCACACCTCTGGTTGCCTCCCGCTGCCGCGCCCGCAGGCCGCCGCTTCCGCTTCAGCAAGGCCCTGATGGCGGCTGCCGGGGAGGGAGCGGGCATCGCGCAGCAGAACCCACTGACCCTCGCCTTCCGCTCGCCGTTGATGGAGCGGGAGTATGGGCAGTGGGTTGCTCGGTACCACTTCAAGGTGAGGGGGAAGCCTGCGGGAGGGCCGCGGGGCTGCTGGAACTGGCAGGAATCAGCAGCAGCAGGAATTGGCGGAGAGCAGAGCTGTTGCCGTGGAAGGGGCGGCCCGCTGGCCGTGCCCCTGACGCCGCGCTGCCCTGCCGGCGCCTGCCGCCGCCTGCTGTGCAGCAAGGCGACATGATGACCTCGCTGCTGCTTGCCACGGCCCTCGTCATCGTGGCATTCATCCGGGTGAGCAGCCCTGCAGTCATGATCTTTGGGCATGGCCAGCAGCCGTGTTTGTGGAGGCCGCTCTGCCTTGCTCGCCACACGTCCTGCCTCTCTCCCAGCCCGCCTCACACTCCACCTCGCTGGGATACTATGCCACATAATGATGTGAGAACTGTTTCAATTGTGGCTAGTGTTCTGCATGCATCAACTGACTGGCATGGCCGCCGTACCGCCTGCACTGGTGCAGCCGTACCGCCTGGTGGAGCACGCCCCCGGCAGCCTGGTGCTGGGGCTGGGCGTGGCGCTGCCCCTGGGCCTCAGCTGGCTCAGCAGGAACGCATACATGCGTGAGTTGTCTGCTGCTGCTGCTGCTGCTCACAGCAGGGAGCAGTGTCGGCACGCACAGCAGTAGCAGTCGCTCCTGGAGGCCACGCAGCGCCTTGCCCGACCGGTGGCCACATGCCTGCCTACCCACCAACCACACTCCCACACCATTCACCTGCCCACCGCCACCATACGCACGCATACACACGCATTCACAGTCTCACAACTGCGCATCCTTGCTCGGCGTGTGCAGCCCTGCGCACTTGGCTCATCGCCGCCTTCCGCATCTACGCCGTCTGCTTCATCAACATCGTCTGCATACGTGCCTACCAGGTGCGCCCTCCCTCTCCTCCTCCCTGGTGCTTGGTCCAACGGCCTTGGCGTGCTCATGCGGCGCAGGGCCGGGGGCATGTAGCACCTCCTCGCCCCTCCACGCCCGCTTGCTCAGGCGCCTGTGCGCGCCTGTTGTTTGTGTCTGCCTCTAGCCTGCTGGTCTTGCTGATTGGGGCGGTTGTGCGATGCGCATGCAGGTGCACCTGGTGCCGGAGCGCATGCAGCAATGGGTCACCTTCTGGCGGATAACAGGCGCAGAGAGCCTGTGCGTCGTCGCTGTGGCCTTCAGGGTGAGCAGGTGCCTGGAGCTCGCCGGCGGCACTGTGACAGCCACAGCCTGCGGCAGGAGCCAGCCGGCGGATGCTACTTGGAGCGGCTCGCAGCTCAAAGGCTTTGCGTTCCCTGCCATCCATGCCCTGCAGACGCGCCTGAGCCTCCACCTCCCGCTGCAACTGGCTGCGCTGGCGATTGTGGTGTGGAATGTGCCCCAGATGTGTGCCGAGGTGAGGGCTGACCGCGCCTTGCTCTGACTGCTGCTGGCACCGTGCCGGCGCACCCATACCCAACTGCGTGGCAGCCGTGCACTGAGCCCCAGCCTGCATCACTTCTCTGCCGCAGTGCTTTGCCGCCTCGCCCATCGTGTCATGCTTCAAGAGCAGCGCCGCCATGGCCGCCGTGTTTGGCTACCTGCTGCCCACGCTGGGCCTGAGCTACCTGGAGCAGCGCTCCCGCTCCACCTTCGCCAACATGCTCCAAGCTGCCGTTGGCCAGGAGGCCTAAGCATTGGCAGAATGCATTGATATTCAATTTTCCCTCGGCAAGGACCTTAATTGTTTGGGCATGGACCGGCAAAAGGCACCCACAGGTGTCTGTTATCCAGGGAAGCTACTTCACCAGCTGATTCGCATGCATCATGTTTGCCCCATTTCATCTAACCATGCCAGCCGCCAGCCCATGGCCTCCCGCCTTTGTTTATTCTCACACTTGAACAGTCAAAGCCAGCGTGCTGCTGAGCAGGCGGTGGCCCTGGCACCTTCACCGGGGCGGTGCAGCTGATGCTCCCCAGCTGTCGTTGTGGCGTCGACGTGTAGGAGCGCACAGCTGCACAATCAGGCACCCGGCAGCTGTATGGTTGCAGCAATCGCTTACCTCTACACATGGACAAACTCTGTCCCGCAGTATGTGCTCAGCACACCAGCCTCACAGAAGTGCGGCACCGCCCCTGCCGCCGGCTTCACGCCACCGCCTGGGCACCCTTGTCAGTGCGCCACCCGGTCTAAACAGGGCTGCAGGCTCTGCCATTCTCATACTCAGTACACAACGGCCCTAAATCATGACAGACGGCCTATGAGGCTGCCAGCAGCCTGCCACTGGCTTGCCGCCACACCGTGCATGGGTGCCATGGGGATGTGAAGGGGAGATCGAGCCCCGGCCAGCTGTCCCGAGCCGTCGACTGGATTCCGGATGCCGCCCGGGCCCGTGGCCCAGCATTGCGCGAGCTGGTGGCGCTCCACCCGCCACCTCATTTCGGCAGTGCCGGGTGGCGCGCCAGCTGGCAGGTGCCAGGCCACCTGGCGGGTTGCTATTAGCTTAGCTTAAAAGCCAGGCCTTGTTGCTCCTCATCCTCAATTCAAGCAACCACACATCCATCCCAAACACCAGCAGCGCTCCCCAGCCCCCTTGCTCCACCATCTGCTCAACCCACACTCGGTCTAGCAGCGCCGAGCAACGCACACGACCATGGTGGCCGTGGTGCAGCTCCCCTCCTCCTCTCCCTTTGATGCGGACATGAGCCGCCAGCCCAGCAGCCTGGAGCTGCGCAGCTCCTTCCACAACCTGTCTTGCCGCGTGTCCCGCCACCTGCTGTCCGCCATGTCCCACGCCCCTCCCAGTTGAGGCACTGTGCTGCAGCAGCCATCGGAGAGAGGAGACCAGCGTGCTGCCTGCAACCCTGCAACCCACCTTGCATCCTGCTCACCGCTGCCCCACCCCCGCCCTCCCCCTGCCCGCAGCGAGAGCGGCCCCCAGGGCAGCGTGCGCCCTCTCACCGTGGTCAAGGACCCCGCCGCCTGGAAGGCCTGCGACTGGGCCGGGCGCCAGCACGAGGTGGTGGTGCAGCTGGACGGCGCTGACGTGGCGCAGCTGAAGGAGGCGGTGGCGGCCTTCATGGCCTCTGGCCGCCCCCTGTCCGCCCTCCAGCGCCCCGCCGACTTCCCGCTGTCGGGCGGGCTGGCCGACAAGTTGGCCGGCGTGCGGCGCGACCTGCTGCGCGGCCGCGGCTTTGCGCTGCTGCGCGGCGTGCCGGTGGCGGAGTGGAGCGAGGCCGAGAGCGTGGCGGGCTACATGGGCCTGGGTGTGCACGTGGGGCGGCCCCAGCCCCAGAGCAAGGACGGCAAGCTGATCAACCACGTCAAGATGCACTACGCACCCGCCGGCGCCCCCGCCTCCACCCTGCCCCAGCGCGAGCACGCGCACAACCTGGAGTTTGGGCTGCACACCGACGCGCAGGCCGACGTGCTGGGTGAGCCCTCGCCGAGCCCTCGCGTGCCGTGCCTGCACTGCCCCGCCGCCGCTGCTGGGGTGCCTTGCGCCGTGCTTCCCGCCCTGCCCCGCGCCTGCCCGAGCCACTTCAAAAGTGTGGCCACCCGGCTGACTCCCCTCCCTGCTGCTCCTCCCGCCACGTGCAGGCCTGCTGTGCATCAACCAGGCTAAGGAGGGCGGCGTCAGCAGCTTCTCCTCCACCCTGGCCGTGCACAACGAGCTGCTGCGCCGCGGCCGCAACGACATCGTGTGCTGCCTGGCCAGCGGCGGCTGGTACCGCGACCGCAGCCGCTACCAGGACCTGGCCCCCGGCGCGAGCCCCTTGTGGGAGATGCCCGTCTTCTCCTACCACAAGGGCTACCTCACCACCCACTACAACAGCTCCCACTACCAGCTGTGCGCGCGGCGCTACCCGGAGCAGGCGGGCCCGCTGTCAAAGCTCCAGCTGGAGGCGCTGGCGCTGTTTGAGGAGATTGGCAGCCACCCCGACTTCGCCATCAGCTACTGCCTGCAGCCCGGCGACATCATCCTGCTCCACAACTCCTCCGCCCTCCACGCCCGCTCCGCCTTCATGGACGGCGACGCGCCGCACGAGCGCCGCCACCTGGTGCGCCTGTGGCTCGGCTGCGACGACGACCGCCCGCAGCCCGCGCACCTCGACTTCCCCCGCTCCTACACCGAGGGCTACGACCGCGACGCCTACCAGGGCCTGATGAAGCCAGCGCCCTCCCAGTTCCACGTGCCCCTCAGCCAGGAGGCCGACCACCTGTGAGCCGAGCTGAGCTGGCACCGCTCCCCGCACCGTGCCTGGTGCCAGGCATCCCAGCCACTGTACACTGTGTTCCTCTTCCACCTTGGAGCCGCCCCTTTGCCTCTGGATGATTTCTGGGTATTTTTGTTTAAGGCGGTCTCTGTGTCGACCTGTTACCTCCACCAAATCTGCAGCAGGCAGCCATGGCAATGTCTTTCGAGCCCATCCTCATCCTGTACGCCTTCCTGGCGGTGGTCCAGCTGATCCTGACCATGCTCCCTGGGGTTTGGTACACGCGCAAGGTGCGCCATGGCCCCTGGAATGGCCCCTCTAACTCATGCAGACCCCTCTAGTGCACGTAGAACGAACCCACATGCAATATCAGGGACACTCGGGCCTGGAGATGTGGCAATGCATCGACATGGATGAGCGCAACCCTGCCTGCATGCCCGCCCGCCTGCCGAGCAGGGGACCGTGAACGGGGGCATGCGGCGGGCGCTGAGCGGCATGGCCTTCAACCTGATGCTGCCCGCGGTGGCGTTCATCAACATCGCCGGTCAGGTCACCGCAGACACCATCGTCGGCTACTGGCCCTTTGCAATGAACACATGTGTGAGGTGCGTCGCAGCTACAGGCAGCTGTGCCGCCGATGCTTGAAGCTCAGCCGCCTGGAGCATGTGGTGGCGGCTTGGGCATGGAGGGCCACAGCAGAGCCAGCCGCTCTCCCGCCGCACTGCACACGGCCAGCCTGCTGCGCTGCGCTGCCCCCGCCTGGCTGCAGCACGCTTGTGGGCATGGGGCTGGGGTGGGTGGTGAATGAGGTGGTGGGCACCCCGCGCCACCTGCGATACCACGTGGTGGCGGCCTGCGGCTACGGCAACCTGAACAGGTGCGTGCCTGCCGCGTTTGGGTGGGCTGGCTGGGGGGGAGATCCTGTGGGGCGTGCGGGCCAGTTGGGGAGCCCTCCAGCCTCCGTGGCAGCGTGTTGGCATCCAACCGCCTGCCGCGCGCCTTGTGTGGCCCGGTTTGATCAACCACTGGCGTGGCCCAACCCCCCCCGCCCGCAGCCTGCCACTCATGATCA